TGGTGATCCACTGACGCACTTGGAGCTGCAGGGAATCGGAGACCGTGGCGAAAATGTCGTCGGGAATGTTGCGTGGTAATTGGGCGCGACGACGGCGGCGGAAGAGATCCTGGGCGACCTCGGCCGCGACGGACGTGTCCATATCGGTGGACTCGTCGGCGGCGAGGGGTTGCAAGGCAAGCGGGGGTGCAACAGGGGGCGCTTGAGCGACATCCATATCTTCGGATGGGACCACGTCGACAGCAGGGACACCTGACGCAATATCCACTGCAGACGGGACGTCTGCTGCAGTAGAGGACAAGGGCAACGCCGAGGTGGCGGGTGCAGCGGCAGCAACGACACGGGGCTCGATGACGGGAGGACAGGGTTGCAGAATCGATTCCACGCTCGTACGTGGGCAAAAGCGTTCATGACGGAGGCTCCAGACGGTGTCCGTGTTAGGAATGGCAGCAAACGGGGAGTCGAGGACACGAGGGGCGCAAGCAGACGAGGGGAACGAGCAGAAACAGCGACATTCGGAGAGTCGGAGTATCGCTGCAGTCGTGGCCAAATCGTCGGCGACGGTGTTAATATTGCGTTCGATGTGGCGGAACGTGTAGGCGACGTTGCGCTCACGCAAGGCCTGCAGATGGCGGAGGATGTGGGTGCGGAAGGGACGGAGGCGGTCGTCGGGGCAGCGCGCACGGCCGAGAACCTGAGAGATCACGAGGGCGCTGTCTCCCTCGATGACGACGGAACTGGGGCACCAATGACGGAGGCCGACCACGCCGGCAAGCAGCGCACTGTATTCAGCCATGTTGTTCGACTTGGCCGAGGGAAGGTACGCTGAAAGAGACCAGATAATGGAGCCGTCAGGGGCGAACAGAGCAGCCCCAGCGCCGCATGGCGTCGAGTCCGAGTTGGAGCCATTGCCAAGACAGGAGCCATCAAAACGCAGGGTGTAGGTACCAGGGGTCGCAGGCGTGGGCAACACAGACGGAGCGAACGTGCGTGGCTGCTTGGCCGAGTCGTGCGCGTGCGCGGAAGGAGGTGTCGCGCCGCAGTAGCGAAGGTGGCAGGTGAGGCCACGTTTGGAGGCAAACTCTCGATCACAAGCGAAGCAGCGGTCAACGGAATCGGCGACAGGAGGGGCAGCAGAGGCGGGAGGTGGGTCAGGGGCGACAGGCGGGCGGGGAGAGTTGCATGGGAATGATGTGGGGGGCGATATATCGTCCTCAGAAGCTGCTATCCGCGAAGCTAGCTGAGGAGTCGCCGTCGAATGGGACCTTTTTGTCTTGCTCCAGGCACAGTCGAGTGAACGCGGGATCGCTGTGGGCCGTGACGGTGGTGTCGGTGAAGTGGATGGGCGTAGATCGCACGAGTTTTGGTGCTGCACGGCGCTGTAGCGAGAGGAAAAAAGGAGCGCAGGGCAGCAAGACGGTGAAAATCCATCCGCAAAGGCGACACCACGGTGGTCAGCGCGATGCTTGTTGTACAAGGACCAAGCGGGGAAGCGTTGTTGACACACGGGGCAGTGGAAGGAGCGAGCAGAGAG